CCGTAGTCATAAAATCTTCAAAAAGACTACAAAAGAGGTGAACAGATCTCGAAAGAACTCAGACTCTTTCTAGATTTTCCTGTAGCTTGGTGTGAACAAAATCTCTCTGGTTGTAAATCTACTGGAAAAAATGCTAAATTTACGATTGTATAGATCCAGAACAATCCAACGAACTTATTCAAAATTTAAGACAATTGCAGTTCTCACCTCGAACACTAAATATTTTAAATTTTATCAGAATTGGTTCGTTAGTCTCGGAGATATTAATGGTCAAATTTGACACTTTAACTTTAGACGTGTGGCTGAGGTTATAAATATTACACAATTGAATGTGTATTCATTACTGTTACTGATACACATTTACTGTTACCACAAATTAGATTTGAGACTGAAGAAGTGTTGAGTTCCCATTTGCGAATGATAAATTGAATTCTGTTTACATTTCAATATTGACATTTGCTCTAAAAAATTGTTTTCATTTTCTTTTGTATAAAAATTTAATTCAAATAATAATAATTTATATATTGATTATTGCAGAAACAGGACGAAACCGATCCAGAAGTGGTCAGAGCATCCGAAATTCTCTTCGACACGAGAAAGAAAAGTTTGGAAGAGATAAATCAACAAAAGAAATCACCTGATTCCGATACTCCGCCAGCTTCACAATAACCTACGAATGTTCAATATTGAATCATTTTCCATCAAGGTTCTAAAAATTTGAAAGAGAGATTTTTAAACTTTTTTTTTCATGCAAAAGTGATGTAAATTGCCTCTAAATTCGACATTTAAGACGAATTGAACTTATTGATTTCTGTAATATTTTGGCAAATTTTCGTGAACGAAAATAATTAATTCAACAAAATATAAATTTTATTTTTATTGGAAATTTATTGCACATTAAAATACTTTTATTTCTTTAAGAATAATTTCGTCATGTCAATAGTGTTTTAATTATAACAATTTGAATATTATCGTATTGATCTTGCCTGATAAGGTATTCATCCATATGTCAACATAAAGTTAATACATGTAAATTTTATAATAGTGCGTTCAATTAAAAATGTGGAATGGGAGTCGTAAATATCTCTAAAAACTAAGCAGTTTATGCTATTTGTGGTAACTTAAAAAACAATAACAGTAAATTTCACATAAAGTGGAAAGAAACAGTAGGAGTTACAGAGTATTCACTTACATATACATAAACAGATTTACACCTTTATATTAAAATATTACAATCTATAATATAATCGAGACGGGTTGATAATAATGATAATAATAATAAGTGCAGAGCTCAAACGGTTAGGAGTTGAAAGTTGAAATTTGGTACATAGATAGGGTACGTCACGAAAACGCACACTAAGAAGGGATTTTTCGAAATTTCCCCGGGGGAGGGAGAAAGACAGGATTAAGGCTTAACACTTCCATCAACAATGGAAGTGTTAAGTAACAATGGAAGTGCTAAGTAACAATGGAAGTGTTAAGTAACAATGGAAGTGATAAGTAACAATGGAAGTGTTAAGTAACAATGGAAGTTTTAAGTAACAATAAAAATTTTAAGTAACAATGGAAGGGTCAACAATAGAAATGTTACGTAACAATGGAATTGTTAAGAGAAAGCGACGTGCAATACGCAGATGCAGTTTTTTCATTTTTGCGGGAAATCGAACATATTTTTAGACCCATCTAAAATTCTCTAATTAGTCTGGAAACAAGAGGACTCAATTCTTGCATTCTGTGAAAACGGGTAAGGTTGACTGTAACGTAATAATCTTTATCTTAGTTATCGTTACTTTTGCCCGAGCAACGCCGGGCCCACCTGCTAGTTTCTTTATATTTTGAGTAAATACTGTATTCTGATTTGAAAGATTTTCGTGCTCTCTTTCTTTAGTAATACACACTTAAATATTGTTTTTATGATTGATGTTTTCATGCAGATTTTGCAGCCCTTGACAAAGCCATTTCTTAATTTCACGTTGATAAAACAAAGATAAATTGTATGTACAACGATAACACATTCTAAATCACTTTCTAAACACTCATTAAATCATTACTTTCAATTAAATAATAGAACGTCACGTAGTCACTATGGAAGCATTTTTGTAAAGTTGTTATAGAAATTACGCGACGAAGCTAGTTTTTTTTTTAATTTATACTTTTTGTTTCACGAAGTAAGTTTAAAATAGGCTGCGAAGAGTCGGACATGAAAGAAAAAATTCAAAAAAAATTCATCTTTCGTTTTGAAAAGAAAATTTATTTAAGTCTCAGGAAAAAAAATTTTTTTATTTCATTAGCAGAGGATGAGTGCATTTCTCTTTCCGGAGTCGTTTCAATTTCCAAGGAACTTAGAATGTGTCAATGGGAACTACAACTAAAAATTAACTATTGGTGGAAAAAGACAACGTGGAACTCGAGGTACAGAGAGGTGGTCGAGAGTCGCGAGAGTATGCGAATATATACAAAGATAACGTAGAAATAGTTCATAAAGAAAAATTAACATACAACAGGAAGTTTGAAAAAAACCATAGAAATCATGAAAAGTAAAGACGGTATAAATAAAAACTGGCTCAATATATTATAAATAAAGTAATTTCTTCTAAAAATAATTTTTTCAAGACGGATTTTGGTAAAAATTAGATTACAAGGTAGCGAACGTCATACGTGGCAACACTAGAGATACCAGTGGAAACGACATAAAAACAGGTGGAAGAAAAAGTGGCGGAAACGGCTAAAGTTTTTACAGTCGTATCGTATCGAAGTCTATCTAAATGCAAAGATTTTGGAACTATTTTAATTTGTAACGTATACTGGTTTATCCACAAAAAATTAAAGCAGATTTTACAGGATTTTAAATTATACAAAGTATAACTAAAAGGTAAGTCTATATATCGTTTGTTTTTTAACTCATTGTTTCTTATGTAAATTCTGTACTGTAGTAGATAAATATATATATATTGTATTATAGTTATTGGAGAAAAAGAAAGCCCGAGGCGAGTACAAAACAATGTACCGTATCGAATCAACTAATAAAGATATTTGATGAAAAAACTTACTACGGGTCTTTGGAATACAACACAATACTAAGCCAGAATTGGAGAACAGGACAAGGTTTCAGAAAAACAGAAAAAAGTTTATTTTAGAGCTAATATTTCGATAAAATAAGTAGTCTATACTTTCTGTTAGAATATGGAACTAATAATACCAAAATTTCATGCGGATTGGACAAAAACTGCAGAAGTTACAAAAAATTCACACACGACGATTTTTATATTAGTAATATTCCGGGCTCTAGGTTTTTATATTATGTATAAGAAGGAGCGCTTGGACAATTTATGCGACAAAATAAATATTACATAAAAGAAACGAAATTCAGAATTTTTAATATATAAACTTATTTGGTATTGTAATACATATGTACAATAATAGACTATTCAAAATTAAAAAAAATAAAAATTTAATTTACAATGTTTCATTTAAAAAATACTAAATTTCGTTCAGTTAAATCACTACATCCATTTTCCTTTTTATAAGATTGTGATATTCCATTAATGATTACCAACTATAAATTCTATGCCAAGAAATTAAAAAGAAATGTGAAGGAAATGAAGATCTACCATAATTACAGTTATAAAATTATGAGTTATTTTCATGCAACCTTTATGACATTTCTTTGGCCCATTCGTAGAAGCATAACACTGAATATTTTTCATGTCGAAAATTAATAACAGCTAAACACCGGTGCATTCCCATGTAAACGGAAATAAGCTGAATAACATATTCAAGAATGTCAACGTCTCTCGTCTATCTTTTCAATGCACTGTGACCACTGTTTAACAATTTGGTATAGAAGAATGTATTAAAGGCATATACAGTTGGAAAAATATCCAATTTGCTTCTTTTCACAAGTAAATTCATGTAGAAATTAATTATTACATTATTAAACCAATTAAGTCCCGCTTTCATAATTTACAGAATCTGCGCGCTACATTCCTACTAGAACAAAACGAGTACTAACAGAAAAATAGAACATCTCCAAAGATTCACTATATTTTACAAGGAGAGAGTAAATGCTCTTTCTCTACATTTTTTATGAATTGTGCAAAAAATATTTCCATCCATTAATTGAACTTTTACAGAAATGTTTCTTTTTGTAAACAGTGTCACGTTTAACACGTGAGGTTATTATGTATCAATTAACCCACTCGAAAACAATAATTTTCTTGGCGACAAAGTAGAATGTTTGGAAGACTGGTATATAGTTCGAATGGTTTTTATATGGTGGAAATGAATTCACTGTATTAAAAGAAATAAACAATTCTGCTGGATTTGAAAGTTTTATGCGAATTTCGGTCGGATGGCCTTTAAAAGTGTTTTAAACTATTCCGTCTGTTTATACACGACAAGAGATTAGTGACTTAATTAGAAGTGTAATGTATTAAGTGCTATTCTGGTCCCATTAAACATTACACAAAGTATAGTGTTCTTATTTATTAATTGAATATATTTGCGCAAACTGAGAAAGTAAATTTGGTAAATCATTCTTATATTTGCTACGAAAAACTTCTTTTTCTAATTCCGAAAGCGAAAATCAGTTAACTCATTTCAAATTATAAATTTGACGATTAGAAAATGAAAGATTAAGTTAAGGTTTTATATCATAAAACGGTGTAACATATTTTGTCGAATGGTAAAAAACGTAAAGTGGTAAATATTTAGACTTTCGGGAACTTAAAATATCCAAAAGTACAGAAAAATTTCGTTTTTTTTATAAATATGTTTGTGCGTTAAACGATTCTATTCGGGCTATTTGAAGTTTAACAACTCCGATACTTTTTGTCGAAAATTCCAAAAATTTCACAAAGAAGTTTCTGTATTGGGGGTTGATTGTATTTACTTTTGTTAGTTAGAGGTCGAGGAGTGATGAGATAAAGGAGGGTTTGTGTTTCGTTCCTGGAGTACCGTCAGACTTATTGAGAATTTTACTCGTCATCGGTATTTACAATTTGTTATAAAATTCCTGTCTACTTTTAAAATTCAACTTTTTGCCATTTTATAATAATTAAAAATATAAAAATATTTTAAAAATAAAATATCTTAACAGAGGCGCCACACGCAATTTAAATGCTGTCCAGAAACTTTCGATGGCGCTGATGGATTTTATAAAAATGTTATATATGCTAATAACGAAAAAAATTGTCATTGTATTCGGCTTTTCTAGAGATATGAGAGAATTCCCGTTAATCTTTCTACCCCTAGTCCCATAACCAACAAAATTTAATAGCATTAATTTCCCTAATACACAAGTTACCCTGCCGAATTACGGAAATTTTCGACAAAAAGCACACGAGTTATTAAGTTTCAAACAGTGTGAACATAATAGTGCTACACACAGACACACACACACATACACAATAACATCTATTCATACACAAATTACCCCCGAAATTTCTTTGCGTTTCTCGACGTTACAAGGTGTTCCGAGTCCAAAAATGTATAAATCTTTGGATCATTTTTTGACTTATCGCCATACTTATCCTCTGTTATGTATATAAGAGAGCCGAGAAAGTAATTAATTGTTTAATACACGTTTAATTACAATTATTAACAGTTACAAATATAAGACAATAAACACCCTGTCGAGAAACCAGTTTAATTCTTCAAAAATTAAAATTTTGAAACCAATCCGATGAATTTTGCATGAAAGTATTCTATTTTAAAAATCTCTTTTTGCAATTTTGAAAAAAAAACAAAAAGGATTTATTGTTTTTTTTCAAAACAAAATATTCGCATGTTATTGTGAACTTGGCGGTGTATGGGAATCAGGACTTATCTTTTTATCTTTTATTGTCTCCAATCTTTTCTTTCTCATGTCCATGAGGATTTCCGATGCTCTGACCACTTCTGGATCTGTTTCTTCCTGTTCCTGCAACAACGAATATTTAAATTATTATTTGAATTACATTTTTTACGAAAGTAAATAAAAAAAATTTCTTTTCAATAAATATCAATTTCGAAATATCAACAGAATTCAATTTATCATTCACAAATGGGAACTCAACACTTCTTCAGTCACAAA